CCCCAAAACCCCAAAACCCCAAAACCCCATCGATAATCGTAGATGAAATATGAGGAATTTATTTTATTTCAAATAAATAATCAAATTTACTTCTTGTAAATAATGTAGAATCAATAACCAATAAGCGATGTTTCAATCGTCTCTTTTGATAGAGAAGAAGAAAAACAACCATCAAATCTACCGAGTACTAATGACCAAAAGGACAAAAGACTTAGTGAGTAGATTTAAAGCAAATATGTGCCAGTACTTGCTTCAAAAGAGGGGACAAGATCTAATAACAATGATGCTCAAAAATAAAATGCTGCTGGAAGTAATGGGCCACCGAGCAAGCAATAAACGGTTATTTCAAACTCAAATAAGAAAAATAGGAAGAAAACAAAAAATCCTATCTCAGCTCTCTAGGAGCCAAATCAGCCCCCAATTCTGAATCAGACCAAAGTCATCATCAACATTTCTAGTAAGTATCTGATAAAATAAAAATATGAGGGATGAATCTACCCTTATTTCTCATGAATTCATGTGATTAGTTAAATATAAAGTTTATATAATGGTATTAATTCTCATTGTATAGAATGCTCCTATGACATTGTCAAAGAGGTAGCTAAAGAAGATCTCAAATGGAGGGTGTCAAGAAATGAAAACTTCAACAGTGAATGGGATGTATTCTTCGCAGAGTTAGGAGTGGATTCAGATATGCTGTCTCAAATGAAACCTTATTAAAAAATCAATCATTTCCCAGCAATGTATTTGATTGCTAGAAAAACGTTTCTTGGTAAAAACTTAAAAAAGTTATAGAAACTATTTCCCGAAGAGTATGATTTCTTTCCAAGAACTTGGATTCTTCCCCAAGAGATAAATGATCTCAGATATCATACTCAGTAGTATTATAAGAGATTAAACTAGCCATAGAATACTCTTGCACCAGCTCAAGGTAGCAGTAATTAGTAAAATAGCAAAGTGACACCTCCTCCAACTTCTTATAAAATCAAGTCTTCCGAATCATCTCCAAAGAAAACCCCTAAAAAGAAAAGACAATATTTGACATTCATAGTAAAACCAGACTGCATGTCTTAAGGTAAAGGAATCTTTCTTACCAATAATCTTGAAGATATTCCAATTACTGAGAGGATTGTGGTCTAGGAATATATGAAAGAACCATTTTTAATAGAAAATTTGAAATTTGATATTCGACTGTATGTCCTTATTACTAGCTGTGACCCTCTAAAAATCTTTTTATACCACGAGGGAATCGTAAGATTTGCTACTGAAGAATTCAAGCCAAACAGTACAAATTAGTAAAATATTGATAATATGTTCATTCATCTGACCAACTATGCCATCAATAAAGATAACTAGGATAAATTCAAATCAGCTAAGAATGCTCTTGATGATGAGGGCCATAAAAGAAGTTTCGTAACTGTTATAAACAGACTCAGGAACGACGGGATTGATGTCGATAAATTGATGGTTGAAATTAAAGATATCATAGTCAAAACAATGCTAAGTATATAGCCAGATCTAGTTCACAACTACAGGACCTGTTAGCCATCAGATAGAGAGGGTTCAATGTGCTTTGAACTTTTGGGATTCGACATCATTTTAGATAAATATGCCAAGCCTTACTTATTAGAGGTCAACCATGCTCCATCATTCAATACAGATACTCCACTTGATTATCTTGTGAAGAAACAATTACTCTTTGACACTCTTAGACTTCTAGGAGTCTCTATAGAAGAAAAGAAGCAGAAGATCCAATAAATTTTTGAAGAAAAACAAAATAGGTTAACCTAAAAAGTGACACTAAGATAAAAACTTGACATGATAAACTAGCAAATGAAAGAGAAACTAAAATGGAAGGACGAGTATGAACAAGAAAATATGGGTGGATATGATAGAATATATCCTGTCGAAGATAACGAATCTAGACAGTCAAGGTATAATGACATTGTCAAAGCAGTGTATAACTTTGAAGCTGAAATGCAAATTAGAAGACTTTAGAAGGAATATGATCCAAAGCTGTACAAATTTTAGCAATAATAAGCACAAAACTAGATGAACAACCAAATACCTAGTAACAACAACAATAATAATAACTATAGCAATAATCAAAATTAATTTAATCAGACCTAAAAAGGGGCAGTCATCTAATTTGGTCAAACTTAATCCAGCATGAATAATAGAATGTAGCAGTAAACATCAAAAGTATAAGAAATGCTACGATACTAATCTCAACAAAGACCAATATTAAATAGAAAAGATATCCACATTATAAATAACCCTACTATGGAATCTTAAACACTCTAAGGAATAGCAACACCCACAAGTAACAATGGCCTTAAGACTTCAATAATGTCTGAGGAGTAAATTAAACCTGATTTTAACAGTTTGATGCGTTCAAATGGGGAAGTTGAAGTTCAAATTCATAGCCAGCTAAGTAATACTTAGCCTCTAAATCTTGATTCTACATTAAGATAACAGGATTAATAATTTAAGGATTATGGCCAGGCAGTCATTAACAATTACGAATCAATCATTGTGGATAATATACTCAGTAACATGAGAGATTCAGGAAGAGAAGAGATTAAGCTTGATAAATCAGTAATTGCGAATCAGCAGAGATCATACAAGGAATTAGCCAAAAATAATAATGAAAAAAGTAGGGTTCAAATTCAGCAGTCTAATCACATGTATCATAACTCGAATTAGATTCAGAATAATACAAACACAAATTCTAGTACTCAGTTCAAGTTAATGGAGATTCAGCAGCCTATTTAGGTAACATAACCAAATTAGCTAGCTAAATGGATATACACATGGGATAATCCAGCTAAGCATCCTAAACTACCATTGAGCGATCTACTTCAAACTAAACCTGTTCCTGTTTCAACCAAGAACTAAACTAACAAGCCAAGCGCATTCAAAATACACCCTAATCCTAAAAATGATCAGCTTCCTAAGAATTCTCCGAATAGACCAAATAATGACTAGAAATAAATGGGTCTGAGGCCAGAAGGAAATAGCACAGTGGTTGGAGCATCAAGCAGTAATTTGCCAGCACTTCACACTAAACCTAATAAAACTCTCAATGGTTTCAATAAGCTAACCTAACAATAGCAAATCTTAGCTAACAGTTGGTTCTAGACTACAAACCTCAATTAGCTGAATAAGTTCTAGAAATAAGTATTGTTTGAGAATATATTTGTAAGTGATCATAAGAGAAAGTCCCTAGAGATGATTCAAAAAGACACCACCATTAGTAATGCTAACAAAGCTTAACAGCAAAATGCTGCCAGACTTGAATTAATAAAGAAAAAGGAGCAGTTCAACAAAATGCTAAATTTGCATAACCTAGATAAAAACGGAGCTATTTATTATGCTCAATAAACAGGAGCAAACCCATCTCAAAGTATTATCGGATTAGTTCAGGGACTAAACACTAATTCGGTAAACTACTTCGCCTAGCAAAACAAATAAATTGGTTACTCATAAATGAATGGGTTACAAAACATCCACAAAAAGAAGCAATCAATATCTTAGAATTCTAAGATTGACTCGTCAGGATAGCATACAGACCTTATAATGATTGAGAATCAAAACAGTTTCTTCAGGTATCAAAATGCTGCAACAAACTAATCAATGTAAGTATCCGGTGGCGAGATAAAATTCCATCATAGTGCACCCAGAAGAAACGATGTCATCATGGGCTAAGTCACCAATAACTCCTACCACAAGCAAAACAGCAAGGATGGAATATGGCAGCCAAACAATGGTCTAGACGAGCAGAATATCATGAAGCAGTCAGTGATCTTCAACAACATAAATCAGAAAAATGAAGGATTAGGAAATCCTAGTTAGATTCCCTTGCTTTAAGGCAATGGATCTAAAAATAGACTCAAGAATTTGGAATCGATCAAGAACGTCAGCAACAATGCAAACTAAGAGTCCCAAATGAACTTCAATAATTGTAATTTGACAATAATAAACAATAATCATTTCTATAACATCTATCAAGGGTAGCCCGATAAAGACAATCAATGAAGACTTAAAGAATATATAGCAAATTAATTTAGATTTAAGAACAATTATGCCGATTATAATGAATGATATGATCCTATGGGGTTTTGGGGTTTTGGGG